CTATGTAATGGCTTCTCTTTGGCTTGTTTTATTCTCTCTCTTTCTCTCTATCTCTCTATCTCTCTATCTCTCTCTCTATCTATCTAAAGCCGAGCACAGCTTGTTCTATTATTTCACCACTCGAGTAGACGAGAAAAGCTGGCTGTGAATTTACAGCGCTCAAGTTTCGAGCACTCACAAAGCTAAATCGTAGCGACAAGTGAAAAAACGTCGAAAATATGTGGGGAGTTTATGACTTTATTGCGCTTGACACGTTACAGCGGAATGGCATTGTCGTTCCGCGTTAATTTTTCGCGTTGCGCTGTTACGGCGGTATCGATTACCCTTCAACGTGCGTTCGGCATCGTTATTAATGTTAAGAATCGTCGGATTTAACTTTCACACTCCTCTCGATATAGCGTCACCATCCTTGACCTCGTCGCAAGCATGAACGAATAAAGAGCATCTCGGTTACTACTGCGCCACAGTGGGAAATATAATTTATTAAAAGCTATTTTTTAGCTGTCGTGTATATGTGTGTGTATGTATGTATGTGTGTGGTTGTACTTACAGAATGTAACTTGGATATTCAATCATGGTAATCAAAAAGTAGAGCTTGAAATAAAACGATAACTGCTAAGTTACTTCGATATCCCTCACAAACGCGACTGCACGAATAATTAATCAAGACACTATTACTTTTCCCTTTATCGTATTACAAACTTATTATCAAATGGCTGTTCTTTTTAGAAGTTAATCGCGAAATCCATTAATATGAGGGAAACATCGAAGAATACGAACCGATTGCTTAACGCTCGATGACAAACAACCGAGTCATTTTTACGAAAGAAAAATATCTTGTTTGTTGAACAAACAACAATGTTCGATAATGCAAGAAATCCAAAACGGTTGCCTCAGGCAGACAGAATATTCCAGTACGTGGCTTCTCAGATAAGAAGATCCATATTTGTCCATGCTTTAAGGTCGCGACAGCACATATGATAATACAAAACTTAAACAGACAGAAAAATCCTGCGAAAATCCGTGAAAATTTCTCAAATCTTAAAAATATTTTTATAGCTACTTTTAAAATCAGATTATTCAGAAGCGATTAGTGATTGAGATATTGAAATTAGAATGATAGTTGACTTTATCATAAATAAATCAATAATTTATAATAATAATAATAATAATGTACTATTGCAATTAATACATTTTGCGAATTATTAATAATTTTTCTACATGTCAAGAGAAATTATTTCGTAAAAGAGGACTCAAGCATATTTCGCTTACGCGACCTGAAGCGAAAACACGTTCTGCACATAGTACAGCACACCGAAACTGCGATGCATCTGGACGACTATTCATCCCATCAACTCTAGCGCTTTGTATTTTCATAACTCTATCATTTTCCCGCAACTTAATTTAAACAGCGATATTAACTCGAGAATAGCCAACTGGAAATGAGAAGCTCATTTAACGCGAGCGTGTTCATAAAATAATTTGAATACGCCAATCGTTATCCACATAATTTAGCAATTCACATTATGATTTGTCACCGTATTTGACAAATTGAAATATTATGCAATAGAACTATGTATACAACAGTTGGGAAAGGTTTGGATAAATATGTGGTTAATAGACTGCCGACGTTCGAATGAAAATATAATATACATACATTTACTCAATTAACGCATTCGACACTCGCGGGGGAGTTCAATATTTTCAGAATGTATATTTTTTACGCTTCCGTTATTTTCAGCATGTGTTTATCCAAATCCTGTTGTATTGTGACAAATCGAACAACATTTTACGAAATGAAAACATTTTTGCGCTATTTATACAATAACAAAAAAAATATTCTCGCTATAGCTACTCTTTCCTCGATCCATGGTTCACGGATCACCGAGAACTGTGGTACCCGTGTGGGATGAAATTTGTACGAACAATATTGTAATAATATTTTTACATATATGCATATGTATATTCATACATACGTACATATATATATATATATATATATATATATGTGTGTGTACAAAATTAGAATATTATCATCCGATATTAATTTGACAGATATCTGTATTTAAAGCGCGTTAAATGAAGCAGATGAAAAATATTTGAATCGATATTTATATATATATATACATGTGTGTGTACAAAATTAGAATATTATCATCCGATATTAATTTGACAGATATCTGTATTTAAAGCGCGTTAAATGAAGCAGATGAAAAATATTTGAATCGATATTATATATCGATTTTTGATATTTATTCAAATATGCTAATAAATGGACATTCCATGTAAAAGTCACTCAAATACAACTTGTATAGCAAATGTTACTATTTATCTATATTTTCAGACGTATATTATCCTCCGGAAGATAAATAAACTATATTCTTAAAACAAAAGTTTCCAGTCGAGTACGAGAAAATCATGAAGAAGTAACGCGCGGTGTATCAAAGTATCGGATAATTTCATTTTATTGTGACCCGCGACGTGTGCCACTTTGCTCGTAAACGGCCACCGAGGTCTTTAAATAATTTACGTTTGCCGAGTAAACACATTTTCCGCTGCACCAGCTGCGAAAAAGATGTGCGGCAGGGAGAGACGCAGTCTTCGCGTCACGTCTTTAGAAAAGAGACGCATAACAGGCCTGCGTCGTTGCATCCAGTAGGAGGCTTACTACGCCATCGTCGATGACAATGGGGTTGTAAAATGGAACGAGTATACTGGGACACAAGAAGAACGATGTCCTTGCGGCGGCCACTACGTGACGCGACATCGTCAAGGCTCATGTTGATTTCGTACTTACTCTCGCTAAAAGAAGAACTGCAAATCAATTTCAATTTCGCGAGCTATGCATTGAACCGAAAAGTTGAGTATTTCTAGTTTAGCTTTAAAAAAGACATTTAAAAAGTATTTTGATAAAGCAACTTGTATGTATGCGTGATTGGTCTGAAAAACATATTTTAATTTAATATTATATTAAAATGTTTATCTCAATATATTTCTTATCGTTAGACATATAATATTAAAACATTCTATCTTTCAAAAATTCCAATTGTGATAAATATTTTTAAAAATGGAAAAGATATATATGAAAGTTATATTTTTGTTAAATCTCGCGTCGAAGCGCTATTAAAAACAGATTTCAAACCGAATTGAAAGCTAAACCGTATAAATTCTACAAACCAATGAAACATTCAGTATGCTTTGCAGTTCTTATCGGCGATAATTGCGATATTAAACGAAGTCGAGCTGTTAAAGCGACTGGAGTTACAGCCTCGCATTATTTTTCGCAGCAGGTGCATGCAATCGATTTATCGGCCGCAACGAAAGTGGAAATAAGGAAAAAAACAGCTTCCTCCTTGTCTAGGAGACCAAAAGAAAATACTAAACGGCCGATATATCTTTAGAAAAAGTGGGAAAGTCGACGAGCATCACGTGACCTTTGCAGAAATCGATACGCTCTCTCTATCCCTATTATCTCACGCATCCACATATCGTCGATGAATCCCTTAATTGCTCCACGCATTTCGGATTTATCCGTTTAACGAGAAAGTTATATCGGCCGCAACGAAAGTGGAAATAAGGAAAAAAACAGCTTCCTCCTTGTCTAGGAGACCAAAAGAAAATACTAAACGGCCGATATATCTTTAGAAAAAGTGGGAAAGTCGACGAGCATCACGTGACCTTTGCAGAAATCGATACGCTCTCTCTATCCCTATTATCTCACGCATCCACATATCGTCGATGAATCCCTTAATTGCTCCTCCCGAAATTTATATATACGGAAATTCGGCAGGAGATGTTTCATCCACCGTAATAACTTAGGATTTGTGATGCCAAGAATGCGAAAAATGACTAGACACACTTTTTACTTGCGTTCATAAATTCAAAAGATTCATTGCACATTTTTTGTCATCGTCTTCCAACTATGTAATGGCTTCTCTTTGGCTTGTTTTATTCTCTCTCTTTCTCTCTATCTCTCTATCTCTCTATCTCTCTCTCTATCTATCTAAAGCCGAGCACAGCTTGTTCTATTATTTCACCACTCGAGTAGACGAGAAAAGCTGGCTGTGAATTTACAGCGCTCAAGTTTCGAGCATATTTAAAATAATATCTTTAAATTAACTAGAAAGAATACAAAATTAAATAGCCGCATTTGGTGTTAATTATCGCATTTGTATAGTAAAGCGAATCTTAGTTCACGATATTTCGAGAGTTTTATATTACAAATTGGAACTTATTTGAAAGTTGCCATATTGCTAAAAATGCATGTATGTATCGAAAAAATTGTGTAAAAAGCTTTTGAAACATCAATTCGCTCTACGAATTGAATATCACGGAAAATAAAATACACAAGACCGACATATATACATTGTTAGAAGTAGCGTACGAGTTTTTAAATTAACATGTGCCCCTTGTGCGTACAAATGACACATTAGCCTTTGACATTAAATATATTTTCATAAAATAAACGTTTTTGAATTATGTATTATGCGCATTTGAATACATCATCACACGAAAAAGGCTGGAGAAGTTACATTACTTTACGTATTACCTTCCATGACAATTTTTACATGATATTAACCACGCAAAAAAATTATTAAAATATATCAAATTTTTTTTTTCTTCTTTATAGATACAAATTATATATCGGAATACAATTTTTTCTCAGATTTACCGCTAAAATGTAACTCTTGCAATGTAATATTTCATGTTTGCAAAAGCTTAAAAGCAGCGCGTTTTACGAACTTTGGAATTGCGATTAACCCGACAGTCATTACGTACGCAATTCCTATTGACATATTTATAGTGCTGAAGTGGAACACACGTGTAACGTTGAAGCGAAAGTGGAAGGAGAATATTCAATTTCTCCGCTAAAGTTCTTGTTTTCGTCGCGCATAGGTATTGAGGACAAGGATAACTCCTTACACTGGACTTTCTAGTAGCGAATAACATAAGCTGTTGCGTATGTTGCCCAGCTTACGCGCGCATACCAAGACACATACCTGTTTATCCGGCTCTTTGCCTTTGGCGGTGATGAGTCGATCGCAATAGCAGCCCTCCAGCATAACGACGCCACTGGGTCGTGAACAGTTTTCGCTCTCGTAATAGAATAGTAAATTCTGTAACATACATCACAGCCGCCTAAGATAAAATCGCGTTTCTCGTGAAGAAAACGTGAGGAAATGAACAATTGTAATTTCTTATATTCTCTGTGTGAAAAGATAATGATATCGTGACATTTAATGAGTCATTCCTGACTAACATAATCGTGTTGCATCATTACAATTTGCATATTAAAAAAGATTTAAATGTCTTAACGATATATAATTTAGGTATCTCTTTTTCATTCAAGTATAGGGCTTTCTATTATTAAATTTTTGACGTATAATCTTTTCTCTCTCAGCGCCAGAAGGCGCAGGAATATGCCTGACCACATCTAGAGCGCTTCTACTGAAAGACCGCCTTGCTCGGGCGCGGTATAAAATATTACACAAGGCAATTTTCTTTACAGTAAGAAATTTCTACGAGAGATATTCGGAAGTAATTAAATCTTAATTTATTTAAAAATGCACACACACACATGTACATACATAAAATTAATGTCGTACATCATGGTTATATTATGAGCGCAATGTTTGTTGAGCGAAATGTGTGAAACTTAATTCAAATGTAATTATATCTTTCATTTGAAATAATAATTTGTAAGATTTGTAGGGATAGAAAGCAGAAATTGCACATTACGCTCAGGTACGCGAAATAAAATAATTTACAGAAATACAATTGCTACTATTACTAGAAAATAAGAACTGTATAAAATACTATTATCTGGTTTACGTTAAACTAAATTGCGTTCGCGTTGTCGACGGAAAATTCATGGAATGAATATCGTAATTCGACACATGCTCTCATATTTCATAAAGCCAGTTACATTCGAGATAATCCGCTGAGTAAAATTCGTATCGCTGATATGTGATACAAATACAAAATAATTTTTCTATCTTTGCAATGTGACATTATCAATAAATGTCTAGAATTGTTCGTCATTTTAAATAGCATTCCATTCGTGCATTTCGCGTATCTTGATCAATTGAGCCGGATCGCGTCCTGGTTTCAGAACAATCTAAATTTTGCAGAAAAGATCGACTAAATTATTAAATGGGGTGCTGTACGCGTGTCTGTTGATAAAATAAAAAGTAATTTGCGACGATGACACTCATGTCTCGTAATAAAGTTTTATGGAACGAACTTCGTAAAGAAAAGAAGATACTACAGTCTCAGAGAAAAACCCCGGAGCACAAATCTTAGATTAATTTAACTTCTGTCTCGGAAATGGCGTGTACATTTTTATCGCGCGCGACGAGAGTTTCATTTCTTTTACTAGTTTCAAACACGTGCTTTCTAGAAAAATGTAAGCGTTCTCGCATAAAGATCGATTACGAGCGAGCCAAGTTTTTGATCCGCAGTAATTCAAGATAGGCGCGATAAGTTTAACAAGCTTTAAAATCGCAAGAGAGCTCAAGTTACCTCTATTATCCAATGACTCGGAACGTCTCGGCAAGAAAGATATTCGATTATCGCGGGCCGTGTAAAAGTTTCGACGAGCAATGAGCAAAACGCAACTTTATCGTGCAACGATATCTCCGTTTATTTGACGAACTTTCGCAAACAACGAAGTATCGCATTTTATTAATTACTTCACTTATATCTTACTTCCTCTTGTATTTATTTGATCGTATCGAAACGAAAAAGAGAACTACAGTATACTTCCTGTATTTATTTGATCCTACCCATTATCCTTCGGTATATAAGCTGTCCTGAGCTTCTATAAGGTAAAAGTAAAGTGTGGAAATCCTAGGGTACTCGGTAGATTGTTTTTCTTTCAAACTAAAATTAGTTAAACGGTTGGATGATGTAACGTAACTTTTGTTAAAAAAGTTCAAACTCATTTGCGATGCGATGACACGACTCTCATCTTTAATAGAATAATTACAAGTTTCGCGTCTACACCATCGCCGTCATAATTGAGCGGCTTCATGATCGCAAAAATTATACAACGGGATGATTTATCTGTGACTTAAAGGATTATGAGGAAAAAAAGACAGGAAAGCAAGGAAAGATATGGCCCAAATTCTTATTGTTAGCGTAGATGTCTCCCAAATGACAAAGTATCTGTTGCAAACTATGTCGAAAGCTCTTTCCTTAATTGTATTAGTTGGTTAACCCGAAACGCCGCGAGAGTTAATGAGACCTTTTCGAAGTTTGTAACGGCCACGAAACAATATCCCCGTGAGCAGTAAAGAAATTTCCGCGAATTGCGAGGAAGAAGCTTTATGCTTTATACAAGTTCGGGCAAACTTAGATATTGTCGTTATTTTATTTCAATGGCTATATATATTAATAGTTGGAAATATCACATTGTTTTGAGGTAATGCCAAGAAATAATGATAATTTTCCGCCAAGCGAACTTTCTGAGAAAAACCATAGTAATTAATGTTGGAAAATCATTAACTCTCTATGCAATATAATTGTAAAATAATTTTTGTTGTTGTTGTAATTAATAAAGAGATGAGTATACATATATGTATATCCTCCGAGAAAACAAAAATTGTAGATAAATGTAAAATTAAATTCAAATTCAGATTCTGACAAGTGTGAGATTCAAATGGAACACATAAATTAGATCGCTTTCCCTTTTTCTCTCTTTCTCTTTTTTTCTCTGCGGTACAAATAAAGTAAATCGTGCACTTTTTTATCTCACGGCATAACAAACAATTCACTGACCTGGTAGAGAACGAACCATCGTTGTTGCCATTTAGTAGAGTCAGCTGTCCGCTTGTGCAAATATCCCGATAGCGAATGATCGTAATGGGCTTTCTCCGAAAGCATGACTAGTTGAGCGTCATTTACCCTCACTGCAACACATGGCAGACACGTATCGCGTGTGAATAGAGCAATTAAAACCGACGTGTATATAGGAGTCGCCCAGATTTAGGCAATAGAGGGACAAGAAATGTAGCGCATGCAACGTGCCATTACTCAAATTTCCACAAACACTTTCGCAAAATGAAATTTGTAGAAAAGACAATTTGTAAATTTTTGCAAAAAAAAATCTTTATTTCCCTACTTAAAAAATATTTTAGTATCAAAATTATTTCGATTGATTGTTTACTCTTTATCACATATGCGTATTTGAAATGTATGCATTTACGAGTTTTATGCTAGATCGCGACTTTTGCGAGAATATATATTAATTGTGCAAATAAAGATATATTTGCAAATCAACATATAACATATAAATACATTTGAATTACAAAATTACATATGGGATATATATCTACGCATTTACCGCATAATACCGAATGCAATGCACTGCATCACAATTATGCGTCGAATTGTCATACTATTCCAAAATAATAACGTTCAAAGTACCGAGGCGAATCTTGTTTACATCATATGAGTGTAAATATTAATAATCCGTTGACGACAAGCATGCTAGCAGACAATATTGTTCAAATCTGCCGTTTGTTCGTACAATAAGTCAACGTCCAATAAATTACAGTGTTCGTAATTAAAAACGTACGGCCGTTATTTGAGGGAGCGAATGACAAGTTTCGCGAAGGCAAATAATCCGCGATTAAAAAATTACGGTTTCTCGTATATAATACAATCACGATCTGTCAAAATCAATATTTGAAGAGTCGCGATACCGAGAGATGCCGTTCATGCATGCAAACTATACTCGGGTCACTTCCAGGATTTCAATCTCCGCTGACGATCTGCGGCTCCCAGTACGCTCAGGGAAAATGCAGCTTTGGTTTAACTGCAGCTTCTGCAGCACAAATGCAAAAGTCGTCCGCTCGATCGACCAACACGTGTATGACGTAAATTGCGAGAAGTCGCCGCGCAATTCGCGATTATAACAGTTCGTACGTCGCGAACTTTCGTGGTCGTGTGTTAACTTTAGCGCGGAGATACGCGCGACGTTTAAGAAACTTTATTCCACCCGAACAAATCGAACTCGAAGTTTCCCCGCGGATAGGCGACGAAATTCGCATAATCTTACGTGCGTTTCGCGAGAAATGGAGCGAAACGTACAAAAATCTAATCTCGATATCGCGTAGAAAATTTTCTATGCAAACAATGAACTTATAACACGAGCATTATTGCAATGAGAGCGGCTCAGTGAGAGGAGGCAAACTTTTTTCAACGTAAATATCATAGTATCGAAAAGACATCAAACTTTTTTGACACGCGCGGTTTCAGTATAAATAACACTATTACTCGTTGAAATGAAAATATCATTGAAAAATTAGTCTATGTCTTGTTCAATTTAGTGTAATAATTAAGGGCATTTTTTGATTTGTTGATTAATTAAATTTCCATAAATATTTGCCATATTTTAAACGTGTTTATTACAAATAAATAAATTTTTAAAATATTAATTTATAAAATGCGTTCGCATTTTTTGCAAATTGTTCGCAAATTTTATTACAGCGATGTTACATATTCAAATATGCAGTAATGATCATCAAAGAATTATCTTTTATAAAAATACATGAATTTATTAATAATTTTCTTCCACGATATTTCAATTCCATTTAAAACTACTGCGCGTTTAGAATAAATATTATACAATAGTAAAATCTCTCTCACGCACATATACAACATGAAATCGGAAAATATTATTTGTGGAAATCTAAATCTCTCTTACATACACTGCGCGTTATATCCATTATTTTATACACTATTTTATTAAGAGCAAAGGTGACAAAAAAACGAAATACATCTTACCAGTTTTTTGCATCTTGGGACTGAGCATGATCACAGGTCGTTAACAGAAGGATGCTTCTCTCTCTCTCACGTTGATCTTCACAGCGGTGATTGATTGTCCAGATTACCTTGTTTAGGTTCCAATAGTGTAGAAAATAACACCTTGTGTGCTAAAGTTAAGTGTCAAGGATGTATATCGATCGGTTTTGAAGACGCCAGCTTTTCCGTGGATTTATCGAAAGCCGTAGCATCTGCCAACGTGAAAGAAGATTTCTTTGATAAGTAACACAGCTGTCGAGGGGATATATATTAATAAAATTGTTATAGCTTCAATCTCCTTCAGTAGCCACCGATTCGCGATTGACAGAGATAAATCTTTTTGACAGATATTGATATTTGATAATATGTACATATATATATCGTTCTAAAAATATATTGATGTCCGATCCAGATGTTTATTTTCGCAATGACATGTTATTGAGCTTCAACGAGGAAACGCTCCGATAACGTTAACTCCTATAAATCAGATGAATCATTAATTGAGTAAATATTATTATCGAGCCGATTCAACATAACCGGAATCATTCACATCCCCGAATACACAACGAAAATTTGCCATACGGTATTCCGCGATATATTTACATAAATATGCTAGCACGCATCGGTGCAATAATTTCGTATCACGGTAATTGAATCAAAACGATATGAAATCAGAGCTGATTTTCTAACTCGCATTAATTCGAAATCTCGACGTCGCTAACTTTCGATATCTATTGATTAATTTTTACTTTATCCTTTTGTTCATATTATTATTTGGAATTATTTGTTTTGTAAGTCGTTTCCAGTTCATAAAAACGAACGCTAACTCTGCTAAAAGTAGAAAATTGAAGCGATGGTACACGCTAATCTCGCGGAAATAAGATGTTAATCTATTTACGATTAAAATCGATATTCTCGAGTTTTAACTTTCATGAAAGCGCGAATCTAATAGCCATCTTCCGTTTCGATTGCTCTCAATCAAATTGATTGCGAATGCAACTTTGACGCTTTCTATACGTATCTAAATATCACATATTAATCTTTATTCTCGCATTAATTCATCAATTATATTATATTAAAATAAAGTAAAATTAATTCGTGGTTTTTGACAAAAAAGATTGTCTCTGTGTGTGAAACGTCTCGAAACACATTAATAAAAAATATTATATTGTATTATCGTTTTTTATGCGTTGTACAATTTGTAATATGAATAAAATATCCCCGATAATCAAAAATATTAATATATAGCTCGACAATTAATTAAAAATAGTCAATGTTTTACAGTTTATAAGTACATTCGTATCGTTAAAATAATTGAAATAGAAAAAGATTTGCAATCTATTTCCAAGAAATATTTGTATGCTGCGTTATATGATTTTTTATTTAAAGCTTGTGAGCTACGCATAGGTCTGGGAGTTTTCCGATACGCCTAGTGATACGATCCATTTTTTAAACGCTCGCTACACAGATGCATCGTTTTAAAAATATTCGCATTTTCCAATTTTGTATTTAATTACTCCATTTATTGTTTCATGATATTTGTTGTTAAAATTGTAATTATTATGCTTTTATATTCGCTGCGAAATTATTGGAAAAAATTGTCAATCATTTAATCTCGAAATGAGAATAAGAGGAGAAAAATGCAACTCATGCTTTTGTATAATTTGAATTCGCTCTCTCCTACTATTTGCATTCGCAAAAGGTATTGCAACATCAACATCTAAAGAAAAAAAAAATCATCGATTCTTCGAAAATATCGACAAAGATCCAAGACAATTATTTAGCAAGAGAAATGAAACAGGGGAGGAAAGTGACGATAAGCACAAGAGAATCTTTCAGGACACGAATTTTCCAGAAAAATGGAAAAGAGAGGAGATCATCATTCTTGTTTTCTTCTATAAAAATGGTCAGTAACTTCCAAAATTTCAATAGAGAAGAATCGAGGAGAGAAAAAGAAGAGGAAGAAGAAGATGGAAGAAAGTTCAAAACATCTCATATCTTTTTCACAATACCTGTTACTCCTGCGTGCGTATTTCGTCGCACGCGTCATTTGCCTCCTCTCACCTTCTCATCCACCCTCTCTTTCGCCAGCTTCCGCTGTCTTCCGGCGAGTGATCTCGCCTCGCCACCTGTTCGTGCCTACTCTCAAGACCGCATGTCGTATAACTATCACCCTCTCTTTCTTTCTTTCTCTCCTCTCTCTCTCTCTCTCTCAATCTCTCTACCAAACTATCGATATATATATCGCCTTCTCGGCAACCCTTGAGAGAGGGAGAGAAAGAAAGAGAGGGAGAGAGGGGGAGGGGAAAGAGGTAGGGAGAGGAAGAGAGAGAGAGAAATCTACCTGCGCTTGCCTGCGTACCTGCCTGGCCCTTGCCGAGGGGCCGCCTTGGATCTTCAACATCGACAACACCCTCGTTGGCTAACCCAGGTCGGACCAAGCTGAGCTATACATACTAACTATAGTAGAAAGCGTTAATTTTAGCTCTAGAGAAACCCTTCGCAGAATAGGAAACATACAAAACAAAACGTCTTGAAATGCATAGATAAATAAAAAAAAATTACAGAAAATGGAGCAAAATATAACAAGATATGACATATATGTATTTGCGTACGTATATGTGTCTGTATGTGCGAGCGTGGGTATGAGGCAAAGGTGCTACGAGGGAAAACTCGCGAGCGCGTGTCCCTTATCCGTGAAAATTAATAATGCATCGCCCCTTGACAAGGGCCACATTAACCGTGACCCCGGCTAATCCGGCGGAGTCGATCGCAGGAGTTAAACGTTTTCTTTTTTTTCTTTTTTGTATATTTATATAGACCTTGGAAGGGTATTTATAATGCGTTAAAAAAGTCTCATACTCTTTTTGTTTGATAAAAGAAAAATATTTAAAAGTTAAATATTTAAATTTAACAAATTTTATTTAGAGCTATTAAAAAAAAAAAAAATAACTTCTTTTTATGTAAGAAAAAAAATATGAATTATGGACAATTTAATATTAAGTGGAAAATAAGATTTTGTCTTTTATTTGCATCTCTGATGTTTGATTTTTTTAATTTTTATTTGCCTATAATATAAAGCAAAGTTTGGAGGTCTGACATATTTGTCAGAAATTCTTGTTTAATCCGATCTGAGAGAGCCTATCGTCAAATTTATTATCAATCTTTCAATGTTCGAAACGCGTCATCCGTGTAATTGTAGGCATCATGTAGAAAAGGAAATATTTACCGGTGCAAAACAACGTACATAATTATGTAATAGGAGTAACGCGTAAACAGTCGCGTTATTTCTCGCAAAGCGAAATTATAGATACGCCCCTTTGATTATAATCGAGTTATAATCGGGTTGTCGAATACTGGAATATCGCAACAAGCGCATATGCATCCGACGCCTCGTGCATTAGGAGCGACGATAAACTCCGTATTGTGAGAACAGAACGCAATTTACAGTCTTCGGATCTATGGGGCAAGACACGGCCACCCGCATATACGTAACGGGTATGCGTGCGTAGAGATATTTTCTCTTCGATGCCAAATTGTTCTCGGAATGATCAAAGGGGTATTTTGTCAGTGCCCGTAACATAACTAGAGTATCATACGATGCACCGCAGCTTTGCATTACGGCGAAAGTTCAAAGCTAAATTCTCTGTATATTCAAGTTCCTTCGCTCTATTTTCTTTTCCCAGAATATATAAATTTTCATTTATAACAAAATGTTTTTTTACGAATGTATCCTTGCAAGTTGTTTAATTATATAGATACATTGTTATTAATAAAGATTCGTGCATATAAAAAGAGAGAAAGAAAAAGAGAGAGATTCTTTCTCGGCTTTTATATAATGTACATTTATTACAAACTTCATTTTTTTAAATACATGTTTTTCTACGAATGGTGTAACATGGGTATAACTTTAATTAGACAAAGAATAACAGCATAGGTAAAACATTAAAAAAATTACATGTATATATATATATACGAAGAAAAAAGTAAGTAAAAAGTAATATTCTCAATTGGACCTGATTTTATAAAATATATATAGTTAATATATATATTTATGCGCGCGGATACCGAAATAGAATAATAATAAAAAGACGATAAAATTATTTCATGCTTTATATCCGTTTTGCGCTTGAAAATCTCTATATTACGAAATATTATTTTATCCATCGATATCAGCGAGCATTGTTCAATTTATGATGTATGCTACATTGATAGATAAATTTCTCTCTCTGCCAATCAAGCTGCAACGTATTATTTCACATGTGCGTTTGAATGCAATAATATACGTAATGTTATAATTTAATAATTATCATGCACTTACGGTTCTGTCTATTCTAGGTTTACATGATTTCGTATTTTCCGTTTGTTTCTTCCCATCATCGAAAAATCTGAATTGTTATTGCAAAACATGTGTGTTATTAATAAATTCTATTGAAATTCATATATAAGTATAAATATAAATATATACAAAATATTTTACCTATGTTTCTGTTTAAAATCGCGAGAATATAATTCTGTTATAGAAATTTTCTCTTCATTATTTTCCGTATTTAGATTTTCGAAAATGAGTTCATCTTTACTTGCTTTTTTATTTAAAGACAACCTATTCTCTGTCGTGTACTGCTTATGTAAAGTGAACTTATTATAGAACTTATGCTCTTCGGAATTATTGCGAGGTCTGTAATGATCCTTCGTTTCGGTATGTGTAATGTTTGATTCAGTATCCTCAACTGCGTGTGAGCTCAAAATATTGATTCGATTATGTAGTTCCGTCAGTTCCTTCAAGTTCAGCGACTAGAAAGGATGATTGATAACGAACCGCGACGCGTAAGAAATTATGTATTAATTGATTCCCTCTTGCAAACACGCGTACCTGTAACCAACTCTCCGAGTCAAACGGACTTCTCTCGATTTTCATAATATCTTCGAATCTTGTCTGCAATCTTTCGACGTTCTCGTTATGTCTCTTACGAAAAGCGTTCAAACTACTGTCATATTTTTTCTTCAACAATGCTAATTTGTTCTGATACTCCTCTACCTGGGACTGTTAGAACGAAATTAAAGTATTTACAAGAAATTATTCAAAAGAAAAATACTATAAAAGAAAAAAAAATATATGTACTTTAACTTTAATTTGTAAATCGTTCTTCTCCTGCAACAGATAAGTAATACACTCTTCAAGATTCTTTATTTCGTAATCTCTCAGCTTTACGTCATCCATCAAATTTTTAATTTCATGCAGTTTGCTCTCGTATTGTCCTTCGAGGAATCTTAACTTGTGCACAGCATTCTCAGTATTACAATCTACTTCTTGAGCGACCGTAACTAATTCATCATGCGTGCATTGACTCGTGTAAAATTCCTCATCTTGTTGACAAGACTTGAAGAAAATTGTCGACATTATTAGATTGTATCCGAGATGTTAATTAGTCATTGCGATAAAAGTAACAATAAGATTTAGTAAATGTGTTTACCTTATCAGCATATACTTTCGCCTGTTGCTTTTCCTTTTCATTTTCCAAAATTTCTTTGCTTTGATGTCGTTCAGACGTATTCTCCATATCTGTGTCGTATTCTTTGATTTCCGTTCGAAGGCGCACGATTTTGTCATAAATTTTCCCAGGAAGTGTGTACAGTGTATCTTTCAAGGACTTGATCATATCTTCGTGCGTGTACAACAATTGATCGTTAGTATTTTTTACAGTGTCTATGTCCGTTTTCAATGTCTCATTTCTCTGCGATAACGTTCGCAGTTCATTTTCGATGTCTGCCGTGGAACTTTGACAATTCACTATCTCGCTCCTCAGATAGTCTACTTTCACCAGTAGTCTCTCTTTATCCATGTCTAAATCCGATAGATTCGCTTGCAGAACATTTATCACGGCCATATTGTCGCTCTCTCTTCTCAATAATGAAATCGTGTCATTGCTCCGAGCGAGTTCAATTACAATTTTGCTCAACTGGTCGCACAATGATTGATTCTCGTTCTGCAGCTTCACGATATCGCCCTGCTTTTGCGTTATAATGGCATCATATCTGATGCTTTCATGCGTTAAAGCCATTCTATTCTTTTCATCCTTACGTTCCAGATCCGCTATTATTTCAGCGTTCTTAGAAATAATCTCATTAGCTTGTGTAAGCTTATTTTTCAGATCATTATTCTCCATTTGTAGTTCTATCAATCTGCCAAACCGATAAATATTTTAAGAAAGATCGGTTAAATATTTTTAACAATATAAATAATCAGGGTACTAACTTTTTTCTCATATTGTCGATATTATTTGTTTCCTCCTTTAAAATATTGATGGTTTGCTGTAGGTCATCTATCTGTTGATTTAACTTGCGCATCTGGTCTCTTTGTACTCGTAATTCCTCGTTTTGCGCGGTGTTTGTATCGAAAAGATCAACGTTTTCGCTTTTCAATGAGAGAAGATCTTCGTGCAACGTCTCAATCTCCGAGTCTCTCTTATTTATTACAGCTTCCAACACCTTCTCCTTCTCAAGCATCCTTTTTCTTATCTGCTCCTGAATCATGCAATCCCCTTCACCCCTCTGCAGCATATGCTCCGCCACTTTTTGTTTTAATTTCGTAATCTCAAGATCCTTCTTTTGCAGCTCCTGCTGCTGCTTCGCGAACTCTTTAACGATCTGCACGTGATAATCCCCGGCGCCTTAACGAATTTGTTTAACTGTCAATCGACGTGTCATCGAGAAATTACGCGAGATACTATACATATTATACCTTGAAGAACTGTGGATATCTCGTGTATCTTGTCGATGGAACGTTTGATATGCGTCGCGAGAGCGTGATCGATTTCTTCGTACGAAATTACTTCGTTCAATTCTATTTTTTCCGATTCTTCGGAACATATCACACTAGAGTCAATATCATCCGACTGAATCTGAACGTTAACTAATTCTTTAGATAAATGACAATCACCGCAATTACTCGACGTGGAGTCTTCTGCAATATTATTGCAATTTATTAGCATCTGTACGCGCGTATCACAAATTATCTATTAATACGTAATCATGTATCGATCAATATATAATTAGATGTAATCTGCCAATGTCGAATTTCCTATGCGCGCTATTATTATTTAACTTATGCCTCGGAATATACCTGCAGCCGGCTGGATCGATCCATGTCCGGTATCAAAATCTGTGTTTGTAATCTCGCTGACGGACTCTTGGCTGTAACATGCCACATAAGCCTTTAAGTTATCTATCTCCCGCAGACGATTACGTCGTTCTAGTTTACACTCCTCCAACTCGGCTATGAACGCTTTTAAAGCGGACAACGCGCTCTGGACATCTAAGCAAGTGTCGTGCTCGCATTTGGTGTACTCGCAAATCCCCTCATACGCTATCTTAGACTCGTCCAAATTGTTCAAACTACTTTTCAGCATGTTAGTGAGATTACCGACTTCCCGCTCCATGCAAATTAGCTGCATTTCGCACTGCGAGATCTTCTCGTTTTTGACCTGAATCTCATTTTTCAAGTTGGCCACTACATCATTCATCTCTACCTGATCGTGAACACAATTTTACTATGTATCTATTTATACACTTCTCCGTAAAGTCAGTTTAAGATTTAGGATTAGATCTGATTACGTATACCAGGCATCGAGTTTATTGATATAATATTATACCTAATTATTTTTACAAAGCGCGATTATTATTAATCCTTTTATATATTTACTATATTTTATATTGTCCGTAAAATTAATTTTTAGACCTGCGAAAAAAAAGAAAGTATTTCATTAAAACATTATCTCTACATTTTCCTATAATCTCTTTTTTATTCAAAACTGTAACTCTCTGTATATCTTCAATAATCGATAAGTCTGTAATTGATAAAATTTAATTATGCATATTTTTATAACTAAAAGCTTAAGATAAAACGTGACGTTGTACTGACATTTTCAAAAAAAAAATCTATATCCCGTTATTAATTGAATCGGCATTAAAATTATGAGAATATAACGTGATGCACGAGAAGCCAAATGACGCACCTCACGAGTGTCGGCCGCAACAGACATTTGCTTTATCAACGTCAATAGTCGTTTTATTTCGTCTTCTCTGTCCGCCAACGTGCAACTTTGCTCATGATATTGCTTCTGAAGAATATCCCGCTCCCGCCAGACATTTTTCACCTGCTCTAAAGCAATACCGCAGCTTTCCGCCTCTTTAGATAAATGCTCCATCTCTTTCATCTTCCGCTAATTTATCATAGTTTTATATGCACATTAATCTATTAAACTATAGTCAAATTCAATTTCTCTAAGCGATTATATTACGTAGTATATACTATGTCTCACGTACTAACCGTAAGAGACTCGTTTTCTATAGAAAGTACTTCTGTCTCTTTAACTTCCTGCCTAAGTGTTTGAATTTCTTGCGATTGCAAATAACAAACTTGACATTTTCTACCTAATTCCATCTTCAACTGATCCACCAGACACTCCGAAGAAGAAAGCTAAATAGTGCATAATATAAAACTCGGTTAAAAAAATATGTATACAATTATATAAAAAATAATTTGTACAAATCTTTTTTTTTTTTTTTGAAAAATACGTATTACTTTTGCACTTAAATTTTCCACTTCGACATTGCGCTTGTCGTTTACTATTTTCAACTTTTCTTGCAAGATCTAAGATATAAGAGAGATTTAAATGATTACACAAATTTTTAACTAACGTAATTAATAATAAATATTGATTTACATTAAGATTATGTCTCAAAATGTTTGCATTTTTATCTTCTTCTTTTAACAATGTTTGTAAATGCTTATTCAATTCTCGCAGCTCTTCTAGCTCATCTTCCTTCATCTAAAAATGAGTCAAGTTCACTACGTGTAGATATTTATGTTACATAAAAATCTCGTTTGAATAAAAATTCCATTCAATTAATATTGTTTCGTACACCAAGTTCGTTCTTCAAAACTATAATTTCCGAATCTTTTTGAATAATTACTCCTTTATGATTTTTCTCACAGACTTCGGGATCCAAGTTTATCCTTAACTCGCTTTCCGATGTTGATACACTTTCGCTACTTTCACAGTATTGACTAGACGACGAGTCGACATTAGATTGTCCATCGTAAGCGTCATTTTTATATCTGTCCGTTTGTACACCCACTTCGCAAACTTCTTGCATTACTTGAGAAGATGCGTCAACGTACTCGATATAAGTGCTCGTTTGATCGCTATAATCTATAGAATTTATTATAGCTTACAAAATGCGATATATAGATTACTTTAATTTTTAAAATTAGCCGAAAACTGTTTCATAAAAAGGATTAATTTTACATTTTAGTTTTCGACAAATAAAAATTCTTATAAAATAATTTTATCATTTGCAAGTTAAATTTTTTTACCTCGTGCGGATCTCGCTTCAGTTAATATATTGCAAGATGTTACGCGCGATACCAAATAAGTGTTATTTTCCGATAATGGTTTCGCGTTCAGATTCTCTCTCAAAACGTGCGTATTAGTTAGTAAGAAATTATGGACTCCTCTATCGTATCGAAATCTCCTACCAGGATGAAAATACATGGACAGATACATGTCAGAATGTTGCAAGGCAGCAATCTTATTTGCATTGAATGATCCTTCCTGAGAGAGCGGTCTTATTATAGCTTCTACTTTCATTTCTTCTGTCTCATTAATCACGACGGTAGCTTTGTCCTACAATAGAGAGAACTATTGTCACTCGATTATAGAAATAGCACATCTTAACATGCGCATTATTAATCAGAAAGCTTACAAAATTTTCCAGATATTTCTGTTGTTCCGAAGTAAGCTTCAAGGATTTATATTTTCGCAGTTCTTGCCGTGCAACGCGAAGCTCATTTTGAGCTTGAGCCGTAAGTCCTATCATGTTTTCCATTACAACATTGAATGGTATCACTCTTCCTGGCTATAAAGAAGAATGAGATAATACGCGTTCTATCTCTCTGTCTTTCGTTAATATGATTTATTTAATAAATACGCATATATAAAGTGCGTGCTGAATGTGATATAATATGCTGCATTATATGCATGCTGAATATCTGGGAGAATATAAATATAAAATGTAAACATGAAAAGCATTCCACTTTTCCCATAATCAATAACGGTCTATATTATTTCAGGATTGCTTATTTAAAAATTCCTGGACTTTTTATACAGAAATAATTATGCTATATGTGTATGTATGTGTTGTGTTTGTATGTTGCAAAGTATATAGATATTTATTTTTAATAAATAATCGGTTCGCGATGTGTATTCTGAAAGAGTTAAGACATTTGCATTTAAAAAACAAACCGCAGGATCATGTTCGTTGAGCTCGCGAAAGTAACGCGTACTCTCTAAGATGTTTGGACTCCAAGCTCGGATATCCGTACACGAATTGTACAGCTTCAAACGACCTTCCGATCTTTTTTTCGGCAAGACGTAATCCCCATAAGTCAAGGGTACACCACTGCTTGGTCTGCCCGCCAAAAAGATGCGCGGTCCATGCTCGGCGTAAGACATGTCTGTCTGTGTTTAAAATTCCTCTCACGATCGGATATGTACAAGATTTTCGTCGTTCCCTTAAGCTTAATAAATGACCGTTAAGCGTCTAATTTTTACAAAAATCATGACCCATGTAAGGTTACAGATTTTGGTGTTGACTGTACCATATTTTATTTATATACCATAGTAACGGCAAAACGGCACGAGAAGACATCTCGATACTCAAGATAATTAGAGGAACGTGGAATTTTACGTGGAATTATGTGAGTAAATAATAGGACAAATTAGAAAATACAATAAAATATCTTTATTTTATAAGCTGCCATTAAGAATTACAGCGTTAATAAGTACTTTCGTCCTCGTAAGGTACTAACTATCTCTTATTCATACTAAGAACTATACGACTATTGTGTAAAATATATATCTAATTTCATCTCATGAAGGCTAATTTAGCACTGACATCCCTCCACGTAACAATTACGGCTCGATAAAGCGCTAAGTGCAGATGAAAAAGAACTTCTTACAAATGTGTCTGGAGGATTCGCACTCTATTTGGTTAAGTACAAAAATGATTTCTCGTCTATAGCTACGAAATACAGATTAAATCTAATATCATCTTACATTAATCCTCTAAGTCATTCTTTCATTCAAAAAAAGCACTCTCTCCG